ACAGAAAAGAACAATCAAGAAAAAATGGAGCTAGAAAAAAAGAAGACCCTCTCCCACCAAAGCCTCCCCCAAACGTAACAATGAAGAAAAAGAGAAATCAGTCCCAAAAGTTCCTTTGTGCTTTCTTTCCAGGGTCTGTAGATTGGAATCCACCAGATACGAGGGCGGGATAGTGAGTCTGTTAAATCCCATTTTATTTCCATTCGTGTTTTTGTGTATGAATGCTGAGTTCTTTCCTGCCTTTCCTGCTGAGTGTAGCTGGTCAATGGTCTCACTCTGGCCACTCCCAGTTTCAGGGACCTTCTGTTTGCCATGTCCTGGCTTTCTCTGCCTTTACAGTTTGTGAGTTTGTGAGGTACCTCAGTGCTCCAGGCAATTGTCTCAGCCAAGTTGTGTCCCTGATCACACTGGCAGATTGGGAGAGCAAGCACAACATGGAGCTAGCTATAGGCACTGGGGCCAGGGGTGGGGGGCAGGGAGGTCAAGCAGTTTTCTGTACTTAAGGAGCCAGACACTTTCAGAATCAGACACCTCAGAAGCTGCACGGCTCACCTGGTTTCTTAATGTGGAGGACAGGACCTCATTTCCTTCCTGGCCTGAGCACAAGCTTCTCAGAGCATCTGTGTCTACCCTGTGTCCTCTCCACAGCTGTCTCTTGTGCCCCTACCCATCCAGTCACTGTGGTAGGGTGACACTAGAGTCTCTGAAGCATAGCTATTCTGTAGTTGTTCTGTAGCTCAGTCAAACAGTTAAATACTTCCAAATATGATGGGTTGCACAGGACTTCTCCAACCCTAGTGTGTCTTGTAGAGGAAATTACTTTGAGAGTAAAACCCTACATTGTTTTTTGCAGTTCACTATAACCATGAGCTTTTCTTGGGGATAATGCTGCTGGCCTGGTCCATTCTTTTTCCCTGCAGCTGCTGACTGCTGGGATTACCTAGTATCAGTGGAGACAGGTCCTCCTTGACCACAAATACATTTAGCAGCTTTCTCAATGAATAAACTTTACAATATAAAGCATCAAATGCAGGCATCATTTAATTTCTCAAAACTATATTAAAGAAATATTCAGAAATGAGGAAATTGTAAATTTATTACATAATGTATTTACTACCAAGCACAATAGCATTGACTATTTCTATGGCAATACAAAGGATGTAAATAATAAACATCCCCAAACAGGAAATCTTCCAGTTTAACTGACTTCCTGAGAAGAATGGCCAGAGATATTCTCCCAGGTTCCTTTAAAAGGGCAGGCCTTTGCTTTCTTGAATTCTCACAAATGTAACAGTACAGTAGGTTAGTCATTCTTGAATGAAAGAACATTTTAGTACATTGATTAGTGGAGTGCTTGTAGAACTATGTAACATGAATGGATGGTTTTGAGCTGCTCAGAGCCTTTTACCAATAACTATACCAGCCTAAGTATAGAATAAAGTAATAAATACTGCAACATTATATTAGTAAAATGCTGGAGAGTGCCAGACCTCTTCAAGGGTTTTGCGTAAAGCTCTTTTTTTGGCAGGAGGATTTGCTTTTGTTCCTGCCAGGTTGCTGTTGACAGCAGTATTGTAAACGTAATTCTTGGCTTGAGGAGGAAAGGTCACACAGATCTTGAATTCAGATGCCAAACTGAGGTGAAAGTAGACTTTGGGTTAAAAATGTTCCTTTTACCTATCTACACAGCACTAGGTCCTATCCATACACCTCTAGGTCCCAAGTCTATCTTTTAGGGGATGAGGATTTTTGTGTTATTTTCTATTTTTTTTTTCCTACTTCAGTTTTATTAATCATACATCCTGCACTTGATGGAAGGCTAAAGTGACCTCTACTCTCCCCTCTTGCTGTGCTACTTGGCTTTGTCTCCTGACACCTTGCTGTGTAGCCCATCAAAGCCCAGGGCTCAGGCTAACATAGATTAGAACCCGCGGCTCAGTGCTTCGGCTCCACTCTTCACTCATACCAGAAGAGCCGGGCTTTGCTCTAGGCCTTCCCTGCCAGCACACTGTGCATTACCAAGTATATTTAAGAATGGTTGTACATATTTTACCTGCTGTTTTTATTTGGGTGATATTTAGTGTGTGATAGTGATAAAAATGGAACACTCAAATGAGTATGTATTACTGTCTAATATCAAGACATAATATTGTGGGTAGCAAACCTTTACAATTTTTACTGTTCTGTATTTGGCTTCTTTTCGTATATGCAAAAACAAACTTTGTTTATTTCTTGTCTCACCATATAGTTGATAGCCTCAAACGTGCAGTGATCCTCCTGCCTCAGCTTCTAGAGTGCTGAGATTACAGCTGTGTGCCACCAGGTCTAGCATATATACTTTGTAGGTTAATGTTGGAAATGCTGTGTCTGTCCTTCAAAAGATATATTACAGCCAAGCATAGTGGTGCACACCTGTAATCCCAACATTTGGTAGACTGAGGCAGGAGGGTTGCCATTAGATCAAGCCCACCCTGGGCTACATAACAAGACCTTGTCTCAAAAAAAAAAAAGAAAAAAGAAAAAGAAAAAGAAAGAAAGAGTAAAAAGATGTATTATTGATTTAATATCAGCTGAAAAAATTTCTACATCTAAAAATGTTTACATTGCATAGTATCTGTTCATGACATGATTTATTTTGCATTAACTTGAGCTATTTTTTTTTTTATTTTGTTACTTTAAGGAAGTTTTTGAGTATTATGTTCAAAATGAAAATTCAGTGGAGAGGTGGAAACAACCTTCAGTGATTGATAAACTTAAGGTGAGAAAACATTTAACACTGGAAATTTCATTGCAAGTGCTTTTGAAGACATTTTTTGCTATTCCTATTATATATGTAGAGGATAATTATATCAGTCATAACTGTTTTAAGAAGAAAATTTAAAAATACAATCTATAGATATAGAAAAACAGAAAGAAAGGGAACTTCAAGATGAAACAATGAAGATAAGAGAAAGGAGAAAAAATAGGAAAAAAGGCAGGGAGAAAAGCATGCAAATATATATATGAATATGAGATGGCTGAGATGATTGTACTAATAATTTTCATCAGTTTTCTGAAGATAGCAGTTAATGTTGACAATTTTTACCTTGACTAACTCTGTATGTTGATATCTATGATCTGAGCAACTATATCGAGGACAGCAATACAAAACCCATGAAACAATGGGTCTCGTCTTGGTCTTTTAAATGCATACTGACTGTTCCTTTCCTTTCCTTTTCTTTTCTTTTCTTTTCTTTTCTTTTCTTTCTTTCTTTCTTTTTTTCTTTCTTTCTTTCTTTCTTTTTTTTGCAGAACTGAGGATTGGACTCAGGCCTTTGCACTTACCAGGCAAGCGCTTATTCTACTGAGCTATCTCCCTGGCCCCACTGTTTCTAATGTCTCATCCAGTATTATACTCTCTTTAAAATAACTTTTTAAGAATAGGCAAGGAAAAAATTAAGATTTCTTGAAAGCAAACATTAATATTCAATTATTTGTCCAAACTTGCATAACTATCTGTTAATCTGAGCAACAGATTTGATGATAAAAATAGGTAATATAACAACCACTGTTAGCTATTCCTGTTTTGAAAATCTGTAACATATGTATTGTTGTATGTTACCCTGTTTCTGTTTTTTTCTATTTGTTTTTGCTTCTGTTTTTACTTTTTAAAATTAAATTAAATTTAAAAATAAAAAAGGAAGGCATCCGTAAAAAATACAATCTCTAATATACAAATTGGACTATATAGTATTCTGTATATGTATTATATGATGAAGAGAGCCTCTTCAGCTGTTCAAAGAAAAAATATCAAAACTGCTGATTATTATCGTTTCTAAAGTGAGACTAAAATCAAAGCAGAAGGGGCTGGGGAGATGGCTCAGTAGAATAAGCACTTCCCTGGCAAGCGCAAGGACCTGAGTTCAATCCCCTGTTCTGAAAAAAAAATCAAATCAAATCAAAGCAGGGCTGTGGGGGTCTGTGTAGCTCAGCAGTAGGGCACTTGCCTCATATGTACACAGAGAGGCGCATGGGGGAGAGAGAGATTTGGAGGAAGAAAAGGAAAGAGAAAACAGCATCTGTCAAAAGGGCTGGCCAAATAGCTCAGCGGATTAAAGCGCCTGCAAGCAGGCACAGGAGCTGGGGGTTCGATTCCCCCCATGCCGGCCCCACCCCCAGGGTGCACTGAGACAGCAATTGAGACTGGGCCTGGTGGTGTGTCCTGTAGTCCCAGATCTTGGGAGGCTGTAAACAGGCGGATCACTCCGAGTCTGATCTAGTAGTGAACACCCTATAGACCCTTCCTTAAAAAAAATGCAAAAAAAAAAAAAAAAAAAGGAAACCAGCATCTGGCTCATATGGGCATAATTTCATGTTTCATATCTTATTAGCCACACACATAAGAATTAAAATGTATAAAATAGTATGCTGGGCATAATTATACTCAGACGTGGGAGATCTTATAGTAGTTATGAAGTAAAAGCCCAGCACCTGCCTGCTCAGCATGAGGTCCTGAATTCAATTCCCATTGACCCCTCCCCCTAAAAAAGAAAGTAAGCAAATTAATTTTTCAGCTAAATCTAAGGAAGCCTGGGTGAGAGGCATTATTTTAACAGTTAAAAAAAAAAAAGCTCTGATGATTTATAGTAAATTCAGTAGCCATTTGATCTTACACACTGTAGAATAAAATACCTCTGTAAATATTTTAAAATACTTTCGATCATTAAACATTGGTCACTTTGGTGTGTTCTTCCCCTTCACAGGAAATGGCCAAGGCAGAGGGCCTGTGGAACTTGTTTTTGCCAGCTGTGAGCGGTCTCAGCCAGGTGGACTATGCCTTGATTGCTGAGGAAACTGGGAAATGCTATTTTGCTCCAAATATCTTTAACTGCCAAGCACCAGGTTACTGCATTAATTAAAAACAGAATTCTCTCTATTTCGAGTAGTGTTAGAGTTTTCCTGCACAAAGTTTACCTGAATTTTACTCTAATTTTACTTTTCAGTTTATCTGATTTAAATGTCAAAAGTAGGGTTGATATTTTCACTGAGTATTCTGTTTTTTGTTTTGTTTTTTTTTTTTTTTTTAATTTATGTATTTGGAACAGAGTCTCGCTACACAGCTTGGACTCATACCGAGCCTCCTGTTTCAGCTTCCCCAGGGCTGGGATTACAGGCATGTGCTGCCACACCCTGACTAATGCGATCACCTTATGAGTGCTGGTAGGGGGAAGCAGCCACCAAGGGCACTGGTTATGTAAGGACCCCGATTTCCCGACTGGCGGGGGTTAGTTCAGTGAGTCGCCGGAATGTGTAGCGCTCCAGATCTTTTGTTTAGCTTCACTCTCTCCATTCCCTCACCAGTTATTTATCAGTTACCTGCTATGTGCTAAGGACTTCTCCAGGTCCTCTTGATAGTATATCAGGGAATAAAATACGCTACAGTAATAAATGCACAAATAGTATGTCTTCTTCGAGGATCAAATTCAAAAAAAAAAAAAAAAAAAAAAAGGAAAACAAAAATAATAGAGGGAAACAAATAACGCATAAGTAAATTATGCAGTAATTTGAAGATGAAAGCTCCTTTATAAAGGAAAGTCAAACAGATCAGGCTATGGGAGCTCCGGATCACCGAGGAACGGAGGATATGGGCTACAATTGAAAATAAAGTGGTCAAGATTAGCCTCATTGATAAGATGGCGTTTGATAAAGACTGACTTAGCCAGGCTGTCTCTGGGGAAAGTTCTCAGAGCAGAGGGAACAGAAAGTTCAGAGTCCCTGCGGCCGTGACTAGTGCCGAAGAGACTGAGAGCCACGCTGCGACCCTACCTGCTGATCACAAAGAACCAAAACTCTCGACAGACCTGAATAGAGCACTGAGGTTTGAGTTTAGAAAAAGCAACTCTGCATTAATATCTTTTGTCTGTGTGATAGATCGGTCCACCGCTGCTATAAGGGAAGAATATGATTGGTGTGGGTGTTCTAGAGACAGCTAAAGGGACCAGTGTGCTAGAATAGTAGAAGGGAATAAAGAGAAAAGGCTCCCCTATCGGTTGAGCAGTAAGGGGCTAGCTAAGGGGTTCTACTTTCAGGAACAGGAGGAGCCAATAGGGATTTAGAGCAGAGCAGTGCAAGATGCAACCTCGGTTTTGTTTTTGGTTATTTATTTATTTATTTATTTCTATGTATTTAGTACAGGGTCGACAGGGTGTCACTACACAGATTGGACTTGTAGTGATTCTTTCTGTTTTTCCGCCTCCCACGCGCTGGGATTGCAGATGCACCCAGGAGCAGGGCCTGCACAGCAGGTGGGGGATCAAAGCCCTGCCCCTGTGTCTGCCTAAGCATGTGCTTTAATCCGCTGAGCTATCTGGATGGCCCGCAAGCTCAGTTTTAAAAGGAGCACTCTGGCTACGGAGTTGAGAATTGAGAAAATGAAGGAAAGTGGGGCGCAAAGCTTATTTTGGCAAGAGATCATGGTGATTCAGCACTGTTGGTTGGTAAATGGAAAGATTCTAAATATATGTTACGGGCAGATCCAAGAGGAGCTCTTGAATGAATATAAGGTGTTAGTAGAGAAGTCAAGGATGCCTCCAAGGATAGGTGAAAAATCAACAGATGGGAGAGGGGCTAAACCTGGAATGTCTGTGTCATCTACAGGAAATGTTTTCAAACCTGGATTTGCAGTACTTCTTAAGGAGCATGAAGCCCAGCCAGATAGCTCAGCAGACTTAGCGTCTGCCTAAGCAAGTGCAGGGATGAGGGTTCGATCCCCAGCACCACCTGCAGTTAAGGAGAAGCTATCCATTAAGGATTTCTAGCAGGATGAATACCTGTTGTGCTTATTGTATGCTGGTAATTCTTTGGCTCCTGCCAAGAGTTAATGCAGTGTTAAGGTGCCCAAAAGAGTCACATGCAACTATTTTGGACTTCAGAAAGGAAACATAGTCCGAATTTAGCAAAGTAGCTTCATACTGGATTCTCATTTCTTTGCCCCTATTCTGATATTTGATAGACTTCTGGTGATAAAATTGGCACTGGCATGGTTTCCTTTCTCAGCACTAAGGTGTCAAATTTCTGCTTGTAGTACTTTGCAAGAACTTCTTGGTAGAGCTTCTAAAGATTTCAATTGTAGGAGGCTAATATAAGAAACTACATAGATAACATGTGGAAAAGGAGATAACTGATAGTGTCCTAATTTAAATTATTTTATTGCTTTTCATAGTAAGAAATAATTTTTGGTGACCCAGTAGTAGCATATGTAGTTGTTTGTGTGTGTTCCTGGATACATGAATGGATGGTTGGATGACTATGCTATATATTGCTGAAAGATTTCATGAAATAACACTTTTCCTTATCACTTGTATGTGCATTCAGATATTTCCCACTGAGTTTAATGTAAAATGCTTTATTTTATTCTATTTTCATTTTTTTAAAGATGCTAACCGTCTTCTGTTAGACTAATTATTATTACATTAATGGAGCATAGTGTGACAAATAATTCTGTAGAAGACTTACTTGCAGACGCAGCCCTGCCACCATTTTTTCATTTGACCTCTGAGCTCACTTGTCACTAGGTGATCATGGGCCTTCCCTTAGGGGTTGCATTTCATGAGTCTTGCAATTTAATGTTTACATGATATTGCAAGATTGTTGAAATTTTTTAAATGAGCATGGAAACACGTTTTCTTTGACTAAATATTTATTAGCAACTCTCCCAACCAAATAAGATATATAAAACTGGAAATAGAAAAGTAAGTGTTTTCTTGTAAAGGTGGCGATATCTCCATGAGGGCCTTGAACGCTGTCTTCTGGAGCTTTTCCAAAACAGATAAGGAGGGATTCTAACTGAAGCTGATAAAATGCTTTGCAAGTTTCTTAAAGATGGAAGATTAGCTTCTATGTGAGTTTTCCAAGTCAGTTCCCAAATACTGTAGTTATAAAAGCTTTTGGGAAAGTCTTCGAAATTTTTCCTTCCCCCACCTTTAGAAAGTCATGTAATACTAATTAAAAATAGTAATTTGAATTCCAAATCTGTTACTGAGAAATTTTGGGCTGATTTTTTCAAATGGGAAAAAGTGATTTTGTAAAAGTACATGGGCTTATTTTCCCCCTCATAAATGAAAAAACTTTGCTGGCTTCTCAGAATAAACATGAAATTTTGGGAATTTTTATTCACTAGTTAATGTAGTAAGAAAACTGAATATAAAACAAGCAAAGAAAGAAAACAGTGGGTTTCGTTAATTTTAACTTAAGAGGTTTTTCCTCCCTTGCTTAAAAAGTGTTAAGTTTATGTTAACCGACCAGGAATTTTGTACATCTTGATATGATGGTTCTGTTAAGAGTGTCATCATGGCTGACGAGATAGCTTAGTGGTCTAAGTGCCTGCCTAGGCAAATGCAAGGACTGGGGTTTGATCCCCAGTACCACATGCCATGCTGGCCTTGCCAGCCACTGATACCAGGCATGGCAGTACACACCTGTAATCCCAATGCCAGAGAGGCTGAAACAGGAGGATCACTATGAGTCCAAGCTGTGTAGGGGGTCGGGGCAGTGTCTTAACTGAGCATAAACATTTTGAGTTTACTTAAACTTAACTCCATTTTCACAGGCCTTTCAGAACTATCCGTAACATTATGATAAGTGATAATGAAGCATATTTCCTCAAATCTGAAGTAATCAGTGTGCAAGGGAGTGGTTTTAGGCAGCAGTTTCTGAAGTTTGGAAAGCATTCTGCATCAGAGTATTTCACTCATGGCAAGCGTGGAACATTCTTTTTAGCTGAGAAAGATACCATAGTGTGTCATGTACTAAAAAATATGGGCCTTTGAAATTATCCCTACTATTTTCTGTCCAAGGCAGGGATTCTGTATTGCACCTTTCTAAGTGGTCTGACTTGTACACAGCAAGACAAAAATAAGAGTGACATTAGAGGCAAAAAGACAGCAATGCTCTGGAAGTTCAGAGGAAGGGGGTATTTTGGGCTGGGTTGAAGATTCTTCTGAAGTGGCTCATAAGCACGAATTTACTTATGAATGATTGGGAAACTTTGAACAAGATGGCCTGCCCCAGGCAAACATGTTGAAGCTAAAAAGCACAAGAAAATCCTTGGAAGGACATGTAATATGGGTTGTTCTCTAAGGGCACTGCAGTTCCTCACAGCGGGGATACAGGATTTACAATATAACAGGCACCATAGAGGCCAGTGACCTCAACCTCATTAAGCATGTTTTGTGGAGGTGAAGTGGGCAGGGGCGTGTGATTTAGAACAAGTTGAATAAATATGCACTGAGTGCTGTGTACATGGAATTATTTATGATATGCCTTCACTGAAAATTCCATTTATTGCATGTTCGGAATATTTTTGTTAGCAAGCATTTTCTTAAAAGATGCCTACCTGTCTCCTCTGCATAAATGATAGATTTCATGTTGGTCAGCTTGCGTCTAAAACACACCGTTTTTCTTCTTGTGGGTAGACACAGGGAACATGGAGGTGCTGCACTTGTATGGGAGCAGAGAGCAGAAGCAGCAGTGGCTGGAGCCTCTTCTTCAAGGGGACATTACCTCTGCTTTCTGTATGACAGGTAAAGGCAAATCCCCAGCCCCGCATGGCCAGGCATCCTGAAGTGACAGATGTGCCGAGGAAGGGCGGGATATGGCGCTGGGTTTCACTCACATTTCATTCACATGACCAAGCATGTGAATATGTTTGTTCTGAGTCTGATTTTAAGTTCTGGCATTTCTAAATGTGCAGAATAAAATTGTCATGCTCTTTGGGAGGGTATCAGACGATATTTTTCAGTTGCCTACTTCAACATTAGCAGTAGAGTAAACCTAGTCTCATAATCTTTTTAAAAATTGCTGGGTTTGGATATTTAAGATTATTTTTACTCTGATGTATGAGGATTCATCTTTGGGATAATTTTATAGTGATATAAAATACTCAACTATTCCATGGATCTGGAAAAACACAACTGTAACCATTATTGAACACATGGCTCAAATTATAATCATGTGAGAAAATAAAACCGGGAAATAATAAAAATGGTTTTGTTACAATTTGTACATAGCAAACAGTAATTAACAATTCTTTAAAAGACAATCATTATTGTTTTATGATTGAGTATGGAATTAAACTGAATGCTATTTGGGTGTAATTCTTTTAGCATCTGCCAGATTTTATTGTTTTCCTGTAACAAGTTCTAATAAGAAAGATGATTTCCATTTAACTCAGTAATAGGCATTATTGAACACCTGCAATATAATGTGTTCTTTAACTGTGGGTTACAAAATAAATACTGAGGGACTGGGGAAATAGCTCAATAGAATAAGCGCTTGCCTGGCAAACACAGGGACCTGAGTTCAATCTTCGGTTTCGCAAAAAAAAAAGCAAAACAAACAAACAAAAAAAACCACCTAAATACTGAGTGCCTTTTCTCCAAAAAAAGTCTCAAGTTTCAGAAATAGAATTCATGAGATATCTGAAGCACCCATTTAAAAGAATAACATATTAATAAATACAAATACTATAAAACCTATCTAGTTCTTAAATGCCATAAGGTAAAGCAGTTATTTAAAAAAAAACAAAAAAAAAAACAAACTTCCTGGAAACCTTAAGTGTTGAGCAGACTGGGCTGGGGAGATAGCGTGGTGGTCCAAAAGCCTGCCTGGCAAGCTCAGGTACCCAGGTTCGATCCCAAGTGCCGCATGCAGTGCCTGCCCCAGCCATTAAAATCCGGCATGGTGGTGCACATCTGTAATCTCGGCAATGGGGAGGCTGAGACAGGAGGCTCACTATTAGTTCAAGCTATGTAGTGAGACCCTGTACCAAATAAATAAGTAAATCTTCAGGTCAGCAGATAACTCAGCAGAGTAACTGCTTGCCTAGGCAAGCTCAGGGCCCGGGGTTCGATCCTGGCACCACATGCCATGCCAGCCCTCCCCTGGGCATGCTAAGAGGGCCACAGAGACCAGGTGTGGTGGCCATGCCTGTAATCCCAGCTCTGGGGAGGCTGAAAACAGGAGGACTGTTATGAGTCTGAGCTGCATAGTGAGATCCAAATACAGTTATTTTAAAAAAATTCTTTATGATAGCGAACTGTACACTGGGGAGACCTGGCTTGCCAATATTTACTACAAACTTCCACTGTGGGAAGTAAAAGTTAATATATTAATCTACATTTGATGTTCAGAGGAATGATTAAGTGACTGTGTCCTGAGTCAGCTTTGGAGAGGGAGCTAGAGCACAATGCAGAATACCAATCCCCAGTGTTCCTCAGACTTCATTTCTTCACTCTCCCATTGAATATGTATTAGATGGCTACAGTGTGTAGGTTAAGGGAGCCCCAGAGAAGAGAAGGACACCTTTGTCTTCAGTCTGCGTTCCAAAATCTAAGCCCTTTCTGCAAAACAGTGATGACTGCCTGCCTATAAATTCAACCTTCCTTTCTTTATAGAGCCTGATGTAGCATCCAGTGATGCCACAAATATTGAATGTAGCATTGAATGAGATGGAGATAGCTATGTGATTAATGGCAAGAAATGGTGGAGCAGTGGTAAGTAAGTGTTCAGGATAAATTTTTTTATTCAACACATCAATCCTCAGAGGAATAGTGCTATAATTTATAGTTACTAGTTTTGTGATCATAATGCTCAGTTTTAGAATTAGAGAAAAATAATTTTAAAGAGATAAGCTCAACATGATTAAAATTAATTTACTGTGGGGTTCCTGGGGTAGCTCAGCAACAAAGCCTATGCTTAGCAAGCACCAGGCCTCGGCAATAAATAACAACAACAATAATAATTTGTGGTACATATTTTTATTGGTTAAAAGTTTAAGTTCTTAAATTAAAAATAAGAAATTTTATACATAGGATAACATTTGTCAGTCAACTCTCACCAATAGACCCATATTTTATAACTTTGGGAAGTTAAAAATACTGGAAATCATATAATTATTATAACCTGATGATTTCTCCTTGAATATACATCAGAAACCTAATATTTAGTAAGGTAAGTAGTTATTACTAAAGAAATTTGACACCATAAGCAAACTGTGTGTTGAGGAGCTCACCCAGAATATATCAAAGGTTCAGAAAAGTTTATGGTTTTTTATTCATTTTTATGGTCGATTGTTGTTATTCTTTCCAGAATTTTATATAATTACTTACACATTAACAAACCACAAAAAGATTAATTCTTGCTATATTCAAGTTCTCAAATTCTGCAGAGAAGTTTTTCTTCTACTCCAATTTAGAAAATTAAAAATAATTATAAATTCCTCTGAATATAAATACCTTTGGGAGTAGGTTTTAGATTGCCTACCCAATAGCACATTTAAAAATAATTAATTTATTTTGAAATTATTATAGTCATGAGGCGTTATAAAGATAGTACAAAACAACTCCGGGTTGCACTTGGTACAGTGTGTTTGTAGAAACCTGTGACATTATGTACATTGCGTGGATTTGTGTAAACAATGCTGTAATCAAGATACAAAATTATCCCTTCATCCACCAAGATCTCCCTCTTCATAACCTAGTGCTCTAATTTATGCCTGTTACTAGTACTTTCCTATATTGTTAATTTTCATGTTTTATGTTTATTGTTCCCACTTCTTGACTTGTCCCCTCCCTCCCTCCCTCCCGAGAGCTGCTTCTCTGTGATAAACACAGAAATAGTGTTTGATATCTGAGCTTTAGAACATGCAAATGTTTCAGCTGAAGAAGCATCATTCATGTGCATCCAAGCAATGACAGAGCGATTTTAGGTTTAAATGGTAAAAGAACTTGTTGGCTCTGTAGGACCCTCTGAATCGAAAGGAATCTCCTCCACATTTTGTCTCCGTCTTCTCCAGGATCCGTATTTCTTGGCCACTTTCATAATGTAGTTTTTAAAAGAAGCTCCCATGAAGACGTAGAGGATTGGGTTGAGGCAGCTGTGGAAGAGTGCGATGCTCTCTGTGACTTGGATGGCCACGTCCATGCGTTTGCTCATGCTGCAGTCAGTGATCAGGGTGTAGATGATGTCTATGGCCTGGCAGAACTTGACGATGTTGTACGGCAGCTGAGTGGCAATGAAAACCATCACCACTGTGAGCAGAACTTTGAGGGCTCGAGATTTTTTAATGTTGGGCATCTTCAGGAGTGTCCTTGCAGTAATAAAGTAGCACACCCCCATAATAAGAAAAGGAACCACAAATCCGATGCAGATTTCCAGCATTTGAATGGATGCTTTCATTGATGTTCCTAGGTGCGGGGGAAAGATGGGGATGCACCTGCTGTTGTCATTGACTGTATTAAAAACCAGCTGGGGGACACTCAGCAAGATGGCAGCCACCCAGACACAGGAACAAATGATCCAGCAAGGTTTGCCCACTCTTGACTGGCTGGGGGCCTTAGTTACTGCCCAGTATCTATCTACGCTGATACAAGCCAGGAACTGCATTCCTGAGACAAAATTTATTGTATACAAGGCTGAAGTAATTTTGCACATCATTTTCCCTAGGACCCACCCGTGAACTGCATTAACTGCCCAGAAAGGCAGAGTGAATAGAAGGAGTAAGTCAGCCACAGCCAAATTCAGGATGTACACATCTGTCTTGGTTCTCTGTTTCTTGTAATAGGCGTAAATTGCCACCACCACGGAGTTGCCTGCAAGTCCAATGATGAAAGCGACTGCAAAGAAGGCAGGGAGGAAAACTTTTGCAAAATTTCTGACCTCTTCTTTTATGCAGATCATTTCATACTGACTGTAGTCATGAGTGCTGTTCATTTCATTTTCCTCGTAGTAGTAGTCCGTAGACTGATTCTGCTCCAAAGCCATGGCTCTGACCTAGATGACAAAAAGAACACAAGATACTAATTTAATGTTGCTTAAAGGGAAGCAGCTTTTGCCTGGCATGTGTTTTGTTCTTTCTCTGGAGCACAGATTGTGGCTGTAGTGTGAGCCTGAATCTGCTGCTCTTTGAAAAGCTTTGGCGAGAGTCACACTAGATTGTATCTCTAGGATCAGTTACCCACCCTCTGTTTTTACAAATCTGTGTACAGATCTGGAATTCACACAGGAAGGATGAATAGACCTTTGGAACTCTCTTCTTAATTAAATCCTAAATCTAATTGAAGACTTTTATGGATTTTTTTTTTTTTTTGGTTTGTTTGGCTAGTGTTTTTTATGTATTTGGTACAGGGTCTCACTATGCAGCTTGGACTCGTAGTGATCCTCCTGTTTTCACCCTTCCCAGCGCTGGGATTACAGGTGTGCATCACCACACCCCGTCTCAGCGTGCCTCATGGAGGGGATGGTATGGCATGTGGCACTGGGGATTAAACCCTGGTTCCTCAGCTTAGGAAATGTAGTTTTTAAGATATAAAAATTTAATCAGATTTCAATTAAAGGAAATTTTTAAATGCTGCAATTTTAACGTATATGCCTTAGGGAATCTTACAGAATATATCTGTAACACAGTAAATTTAAAAATAAAAATGAGTTATTTTAATAATTAAAATGAATAATTTCAAAAATTCTCATCTTTTATTTGTTATTAATTTATAAATTTAATTTAAATTAAAGTATTTGCACCAAATTTTACTCATTGGCTTTTATAAAACAAGACTTCCTTTAATCAACCTCCTTCTAAACTCTTACACTACTTGCTTTTTCCTATGCCATTATTGGTAGCACCATCAACCGCCTAGAGAGCTAACACCCTTGACTTCTCTCTTCCCTTCACCTCTGGCTCCCGTTCAGTCCTTCAGTTCTGACTTTACCTTCCAGACAGGTCTTAGATCTTTTTCCCTCTTCCAGTCCTCAAACTTGGACTCATCTGCACAGTCTGACTCCTGGTTTCTCCCCAGCCCACTGAAGTTTCATCCTAGCTGCCATCCTGTTTTTATGCCTCCTCACCACCTCCTTTAGATAAACATTTTTCTTATTTCTATCAGTGTTCTATTTCTAGATAGCCAATCTGCCAACTTGCCAGTCCTCTGGTAGCTCCCACCTGGAAGACATCTTGCCTCCCCTGAAAGACGATCCAGGTTCCTTAGCCTTGATACCTGTGTCTCCCTGCGTGCCCCACACCAAGGATAGTCACATGCTGATGTGCCAGACCCCCCCCGCGCAATTGCTCCTGTGTGCAGCTTGCTCGGTCTGCTCTTTCAGCCGTTCTCCTCTCTCCCTTGAAGAGTGCACTGCTACTCAATTACCTTGATCTTACTTACCCTGAAGGCTCCCCTTATCTCACACACACACTTTCCAGAAAGTCCATGTGCTGTGAAAAAGATGTGCTTTCCCAGTTGCCTTGACCCTCTAGGTTTTAAATTCCCCAAGTGTGACCTGCTTGATTTGTGATTGTAATTAAAGCTCAGTAGCATGCCTGGTGCACACTAGCTGGTCAGTAAGTTTTTATCAAACTGAAGGTTTTGCCAGTAAGTATAAAACTGTTACTCTAGTGTGGAGGATATCCCAGGAGCCTTGTTCTTCAACATTAAATTGTTGGACTATATTACTAATAGCACCCCATAGTACTATGATAGGCTTGCAGAGAAGGTCCAGGCTTCACAACGTACATCATGACTGTCAGCATCTGTATTATATTGCTGAGGGGTTTTTTAAAAACTTTTTCTTTTTCTTTTTTTTTTTTTTTTGGCGGAACCAGGGATTGAACTCAGGCCCTTGTGCTTGCCAGGCAAGCGCTTATTCTACTGAGCCATCTCCTCCGCCCCTTAAACTTTTTCTTTAGCCCTTCTGTCTCCTTTGGTTAATTTTGTTCTTTAAAGAATCTCAATTTTATTTCTTTTTAATTTCTTATAACTTTTTTGGTGTTTTTTTGTTTTGTTTTAAACCAATTTTGCATGGTTATATCTAGTAACCTAAACAACTAATTTGCAGATAGCATCATGCAATACAGCAACCATTGTTGAATTCTTATTATTATGTTTAGTGAAATTTTATATCATTTCTGTTAATGTTTCTTATTGCTATTTTGTATTCTTTAAAAAATAAAATAAAAAAAATCTCAAGTAACCTTATAGGATCAGTCAGGAAAATAATATTTTAAATGTGCTCCCTTATACGGTTTATTTTCAAAAGAAATCTCTTAAACTTGCTAGCCTTTTTTTTTTAACTCTTTAAAATGTTTTTAAAATTTTTCTTGGTGTATGTTTGTGGTACATAAACATTCATTGTGGGGCAGCCTTTTTTGAATGAGTAAAGTGAAGTCAAGATTGTCCCTGAAGGAAAAGTATTACAAAGAAAATTGCTTTCCTTATGCAAAAAACAAGTCTGAGCCATTTAAAATGATTAATCCATTATTAAATTGTTTGAAAGATTCCAACCCAGAAGGCTACTGAGATCTTCATATTTTATGAATTATTTACACAGCATGAACTTTGTTTCATGGCAGAAATCTTGAACCTGATGATAAAAAATAATATGACCAAATAATGCAAGATACTGAGGAAGAGTACTTTGAATTCATAATCATACTAAAAAGTCAGTAAATAAGAATAAGAATATAAATTGCATGCAGAAAAGATTCTCCTGGCAGATATATGGCAAGACATTTAAGTATTTTATAATGTTTATAAAAACAAAAAAATATTAAAATAGTAGAGAAGTTATATAGCAAAATCTCTTTTTTTCCTTCTTTTTAAATCTGTTTTTCATTAACAAAGTTTTACAAACAAGTAAATGCACTGAAAACAATATTTTCTTGCTATATTCAGATTTTCATTTTAAGGTTGAAGTATACAGCTGTTTTTAAATAGCTCTTTTTGCATATGAAAATGTTTAAACTTGTATGCATCAAATCTCCCACTATGTAGGCAAAACTACAAAATCCTTGGGCTTTAAAATTTTAATTTCTGAGTCAAAAGGAGAGAAGAATGAACCAACCTGTTTTCAGCCGGCAGAGAAGCAAGCAGTCTTGGGTGCAGGGAGGAAAATCAAATGACTCCTGAGTTGGGCTCCCACTTTTGTTTTCGTTTTACACTCCGCCTAGATGTTGGATCCAGAGGACTTTCCTGAGGTTTAGCCTTGTGAGCACACAAGCTTTTACTCTATGCAGAGCCGTCCTATGAAGTTACAGCTAAGTTCTTAAGTATCCTAGGACACACATTTGAAAGAATTCCAGCTTGTTTCCAAGCCACAGACCTCTCAGAGTTTCCACTTAGCTGAAGAGAACAAGCAAAGCCCTGCAGCAGAGCCACTGACTGACCACTGAGGCAAAACCACATTCTCCCAGGAGTATCCAGGCAGCCAACCACTTCCTTGGCAACATTTAGAGAAATAACTCTCAAGTTATTATTATTTTTTTTGAGATTCTAGTTTTCTTTTTTTTCCATAATTTTATTGATTCTCAAGTTATTTTGTCTAGGAAATAAAGCAAAATTATTTTAACTCAGAAAATTATCTTTTTAAACACTAAATTATCAAAGACAAAATTATGACTAATCATTAACCACTCACAGTAGAACTTGATCATTTTATGACATATCACTTAATATTTTACTTAAACTGCTATCACTGTACTCTTTTATCTTTGATCTCACCTGTGCTTTTCTTCTTGGCTTTAAACCCTCTTGCTTTTCTATAACGCTTCTCTTCAAAGACCAGAATACAAACTTTCAAATGCTACTGTCTTGAAAGGCTGTGTAGTTCTCCAGGCTTCTAAACAAATGAAAGAGAAAGAAGAGAACTTTATGGAGATTTGGGCTGGGAGTCCACTTGTGCTTGACTTTTTGCATTTGCATGCCTGTTGCCTTATTTATTTTCACATGCAAGGCCAACCTTACCCTCCACCTGCAGAAGTTATTTTAGATCCATGCCATTGTTTCCCCAGCTGACTAGGCTAACCGTTTTTGTTCATTCATGTGAAAACAGCCTATTGTGGCTTGCCTCCATCCTCTTTATCTTCCTGCAGTGTAGAGTGTGTCTGAGCCAGTTTGTCCTCCTACTTACCCACCAGAATTTCATATCTGGGATTGTGATGCCACCTGCCTTGCCTTTGTTGGCCAGGATTGCCTTTGCTATTTTTCTTGATCATCTGTATTTTGGGTTGGAGAAAATAAATGAGCTTAAGGTCTCACCAGTTTCTGCCCTTGCCCTCTCCTTGCCTCTGACCATTCACATTACTCCTTTGCCTGGTGCATCAGTCTCCTTGCTGTTTCAGAACATACCAGACTTAGTTCTAATCAGGCTTGTGGTGTGGGCTTTTCTGTCTGCTGGGGAGCACTTGCTCTTGATACTTACAAATGTCACCCACTTTTCTCTTATAAGTCTTTGCCCACCCACCACCTGCTCACTGAGACATTTCCTGACCACTCTGTTTAAAAGCTCCACCACCCACCTGTTCTTAACCATAGTATTTACCGTGCTCTAATGCTCCATATCATTTATATTGTATCATTTATAGTTACATTGCTACCTCTTTTCTGTCACTCAGGATTAAAATACAAACTTCATCAGACCAGGAACATTTGCTTTGTTCCTGATATATGCTAAGCCTGGAACACAGTAGGTACTCAATAAATGTTTTGAATTAATAAAAATCTTCCTGTGCCTTTTACCTGTCTTTGTTGCTATATTTCTTTAATGGCTGATCTATAACTTCAGCCTCCATAAGTATCAATTGTATAAGCCCTTCAGTATAGCCAAATAGTATACAGTACTGAATTGTAAATATTAATATTCCTGCCTCGAATACGCTTCCCACTCCACCTTAGATTCCTAACTCCTTTTTGGGGTCCGATTCAGGTCTGATCTTCATTACCCCAGGAAGCCTTCCATAGTCCTTCTAAATTAGATCAGACAATACCATCTCTTCCTTCACTCTTATAGTACCATCTCTCTCTACTGCTAGTGCTTATAATATTTTTCTGTCTTCTATAGCTATCTTATGCCCTGCTGCATTCTCAGTATTTACCTTGGAATTTCAATTCATAGTGTCAGTTTACTGAATAGGAAGTATGTACGTGAATAGACAAATCAATCAATGTTTAAGTAGCTTATCCTCCACAGATATGTAAGGTTATCACTGGAACTGCAATTTTGATTTCACATCTTTAGTTCTAGATTCTGTTTTATCATGCTATGTCTTACACATTTTTATTATTCCACAATGCCATCTATTATAGTCTTTATTTTGTAGATATCTTAAAGTATCTTTCCTTTCTCTTGTTTACCAACCCCAAACAACCACATACTTTCTTGTAAATTGGACTCCCATCTTGTAAATCAGTTGCAATGCTGTGATCTGTACATCTTTTGAATTTGCAAGTAATATTTACTCACACAAACACCGACCCAGCCCTTAGGGCACATTTTGTCAGGACTGCACTGAGCTCCCTCTGCTGATGCCGTAAAGTGAGTTCCACGTGTGTATACGTACTGGCGGGACTAGTTCACTGGCTGTAAGTTTGCTAATCCTCTCCTCACAGAACTAAGACAATTGGTGGTAAAAGGAGAAATTTGCAAGATGTGAAGGTCATGTTGCTTTGGAGAATAGATAAAAGCATCACTTCTCTTAGGCAACTTTTCAAGTACTTATTTGATTTTTCTGTAATGCCTTTTCTTCTGTACCTCTGTTTCATTTTTTTCTCAGAGTCCTAAGAACTGAGTCATTACGATTCTAGTTATCTATAAATGTAACATCAAAATGTTATGTAAGTGTAACGTTCAAGTTACATAAGGTGTCATGCTTAACATAAGTGTCCTTTGTTCCTAAAGAATCTTTCTCCTCATTCCAATTCTCATGTTTCTTCTTGTAGTGTTAAAAGTGACAGATGTTTGATTAACTACATACTCTATTATTACCAAGAATATCACTGATGCTGAGATCTACACTGAACCTGAATTAGATAACTTCACGATTTCTCTTTAACATCCATTTTGTGTTGAATTCAGATTGTGTCAGTCTTTCATGTCACATTGTTACTGAAGCAAAGTGCATATAAGTGGCCTTTTCAGTAGCTAAAGAATGTTTTATTGCATGGTTTATCATAATTTGCTTTCTTGTTCTTTAACTGAACTTTTAGATTATTTCCAGCTTTTATTATAAAATTATGGAAAGCATTTTTGTGGATATTTTAAGAATGAACTTAATCTCACTAAATCATGTAGGAGAATGTCACTAACCATATACATTCATTCTTTTTTTCTTACATTAAATATAATGTTCTTACTATTTGCACTGAATAATAATCCTGGAGTTCTTTCATATCATTGCATGAAATTTTTCCTAATTTTTTTAGAAGAGTTTCATTATTTAGACATATCACATTGTATTTCAACAGTCTCTTAGTTATTGGTGGGCATTGTTCATGTCTAACTCTTTGCAAATATAAGCAATACCACTGCAGATAATAACCTTGTGCATCTGTTATGTCACATAAGAATAGCCATATTTCATGCTGACTTCCACTTGGTTTTTTCACTTTTTAAAAACTTGTTGTTTCTTGAATTGTTTAAGCCCAGATCCTCATGTATGTGAGGCAACTGCTCCACCACTAAGCCACCCCCTCAGCCCTAAAATAGCCGTATTACTGGAAGAAATCCTAGAAGTTGGATCAATATGGCAAGCGCTGCAAATGCTTCTAGCTTTGATGACATGCCCAAATTATGCTGGATAGAAATGGTACTACTCTCCCACCATTATGTATTAATGGCTTGGTTACCCAAAACCTTGCCAGGAGAATGTATTTTGCTAGCATGTTGCTTTCTCAATGACTTGCAACATTTGTCGTATACTTTTCCATACCTTTGCCAAGTGTGTGGGACATAATGGGCAATAAAATGCTGTTGAATACTATGTTTTCCAGTTAATAGGTAAAATGATATTCCACTATTAGTTTATTCTACATTTATTTAATCAATGGTGAAGTTAAACACTTCAAAAATCTGTTTAAGCCATTTATGCTGAAGATTGAGTTTTTAAAAATTTTTCTATGAAATATATGTTACCTAGAAATATTCAAGGAACAAAAATTTGAAGAGAACACGTTTTATTTATGTTTCATTGCTATGTATATTTGGAAAATGGATCACTAGGCATTGAAATGTTATTATTTCTTCTTTTTGCAAATTTGTTATTTGCTTTTCTTTACAGTGATTTTTAACTGTTCTTTATATTTTGAGAATATAAGACTAGGTTTTTTTTTCTTTCTTTTCCTTTTTTTTTTATTGTACCAGAGATTAAACTCGGGACCATGCACTTGCCAGGCAGGCACTTAAACTGCTGAGCTATCTACCCACACCTATTTTGAGGATATAAGTATTCTAAATATTTTGCCACAAATGTTAAAATATTTTCCTTTTTTTTTCTTTTTGTGTTTTTAATGCAGAACCATTTTATCTAGATAAACCAATTGATAATTTCTTTTGAAATTTAAAATACTTTTCCATATGGAGATTTAATAAATATTAACTATTTTTCTTTTTCATGTTATAGATTTCATTCTCTTTTTGCCATAATTTTATTGATAAACAAATAACAATGAGACAGTTTCAAATCAAATTGGTAGGACAGTTTCAATAATTAACACACTACATACATACTTCTTAGTGGTTAATTGCTGTACAAGATGCGGACTCAACATCCTATTTACAAACACCATTAGAACAAATCATTCTATTCATTAACAGAATGTAACTATATATCTATCCTAACCACCCTGAATACAGATACAAAATGGATATTAATCTGTATACCCTTTTTTTTATTAAATTCTGTTATTTGAATATTACAGGTGTGTAAACTCAGAAAAATATTCTCAAAGAGTCCAGTAGCCCATAATAGTATTGGGTCTTCCACTTCACTGGCAATGTCAGAAATTGTTGAACTGAGTCCCCCACAGCTCAACATAACAGCATGGCTTTATTTCTTATATTTCGTTTTTTTACTTTCCTTCTGGATGGTTCAGACCAAGGTAAAGCAGGACCTATGCAACAAGAGTTGTAGCTTTTGGGTCTGATAAGGTCAGTGAAATCCCCTCAGGATTTATC